TAAAAATAGAAAGAAATGTCTCTTTTTTGAGATTTGTAGCCACAAATTTTATTGAATGACTATTTTTCAGAAATAAAAGAATCATTGTAGGTAAGTGTATTTATTGGTAATAAAAAAGATGTGGGGGTATTAGGGACTTACGTTGTTATAGAATTGGAACTCTTAGGAAAGATATAATTACGGTTTTAAGATTTATTCATTGGTTTTAAAGTTTGAGGTGGAGAAAATTTGAAAAAAACTATAGTCTAGACTATAGTAGATACTATAGTCCAGAGTATATTTCAGATTAGAGTAAAGTCTAGACTACATTCTTGATTATAGTTCAGTTTAGTCTAGAATATAGTTCAGTATAGACTAGAGTCTATTCTATAGCTTAAGCTTAGACTATACTACAGATAATAATCTCATCTATAGTTTAGACTTAGGTCTAGTCTATAGTTTAGACTTTAATATAGTCTGCAGTATAGGCTATGCTATGGACTATAGTCTAGTCTACAGTTAAGTCTATAGTCTAATCTATAGTCTAGTCTATAGTCTAATCTATAGTCTTATCTACAGTCTAGTCTATAGTCTAGTCTATAGTCTAGTCTATAGTTTAGTCTATAGTCTAGTCTATTGTCTAGTCAATAGTCTAGTCTATAGTCTAGTCTAAGTAGTCTATAGTCTAGTCTATAGTCTAGTCTAGTGTCTATAGTCTAGTCTATAGTCTAGTCTATAGTCTAGTCTATAGTCTAGTCTATAGTCTAGTCTATAGTCTAGTCTATAGTCTAGTCTATAGTCTAGTCTATAGTCTAGTCTATAGTCTAGTCTATAGTCTAGTCTATAGTCTAGTCTATAGTCTAGTCTATAGTCTAGTCTATAGTCTAGTCTATAGTCTAGTCTATAGTCTAGTCTATAGTCTAGTCTATAGTCTAGTCTATAGTCTAGTCTATAGTCTAGTCTATAGTCTAGTCTATAGTCTAGTCTATAGTCTAGTCTATAGTCTAGTCTATAGTCTAGTCTATAGTCTAGTCTATAGTCTAGTCTATAGTCTAGTCTATAGTCTAGTCTATAGTCTCTATAGTCTAGTCTATAGTCTAGTCTATAGTCTAGTCTATAGTCTAGTCTATAGTCTAGTCTATAGTCTAGTCTATAGTCTAGTCTATAGTCTAGTCTATAGTCTAGTCTATAGTCTAGTCTATATTTTAGATAATAGTCTATTAAGTATATAGTTTAGACTATATTCTGGTCTGTAGTACTGACTCCAATATAGTCGTTAGTCTATTTTGTAGTACTGACTATAGTCTAGTCTTTAGTCTAGTCGTTAGTATAGATTTTAAGCTAAACTAATATAGGCTATTCTATAGTTCAGACTGTATTCTAGTCTATAGTTTCGACTCATGACTATGGTAGAGTCTATAATATAGACTATAATCTAGTCTATAGATTAGGCTGTTCTATAGTGTAGTCCATAGTATATAGTTCAGACTATGGCCAATTCTATAGGTTAGATTATATTCTAGTCTATAGTCTACAGTCTGGCATATAGTACGAATATACTCTAGTCTATAGTCTAGTCTATAGTTTTCTCTATGGTATATGTAGACTTTAGTCTATATAGTTTAGGTTAAACTATTTGTAGTTAGTTCAGATTATATCCTCGTCTGCACTACAGTGGAGGCCTCAAACTAGACTATATTCAATAATACACACTGGGTGGAGTAATCACTGACCTTATGGCCATTAGTTAACTTTTCTTTGATTTTTCCACTAATACATGAATAAACCAAAGTGTGTGTAGTCTACATATATTTAAAACAGCAAAGTGTCCTTTCCCTAGAATAACAATTTGTAAATAAAATATTTTCTTAAATTTTTCTTAAAAACACATGAAAATTACAATTAAACTCATGACCAAATAGTAGGAAAACGCCTTAAATCCATAAAGAAAAACTTTTAAGAAAAACATAAAATAGCTTAAGTATTTTAAATTCGTATGCTTTCACTTTTTAACATTGACAAGGGTCTGTGTTTATTTTCAATTTAACCCTTAATAGCAAACGATAATATTCCCTACCGAAAAAGGGCGAAATATAAAATATTCAAAAGAAAAGTGAAAATAGGTCTGTGTTTGATATTTGTTTGTAAAGGGTGTGCCATATACAAGATTAAAATTTGACATTGCCATTTTTAAAGTAAAGATGTATCAATTGAAGTGGGAAATCTAAAAGCAGGTAGCTTAACATTAATCAAAAATGGAACAATTTCGTGAGCAACATAAACGTTTTAAATTTTGATTTTTTTTTTACATTTTGGGACACCCTTTATCTTAGTTACTCTTTGCGTAGGTTGTGATAAGTGACAGTAACAGATCTAAGTGAATTTATAAATAAGAAATGTATTAACAAAAATTGTTGCTAAATACAAACATTTATAAACGATATAAAATGTTTATTTAACCATTTTTTTATTCTTAAAGTAAAAGAAACAACAGGTTGCTAGAATATGATTGATGTAATGTGAAAGAATTTCTGAAAGAAAGGGCAATATTAACATTAAAATGTTTTGTTAATAGACAAAGACTACAACATAAGCGATATTATACAAATATTTGACTATTTTGGATATATCAAAATTACGTTTGACGTCTTTGACTCATTGAAGAAAAAATTGCGTCAAATATTTGACATAACAAATAATGAAGATGATTCAGGGGAAATTTCGAAGCAGGGAAATATATTACTTATTTCAGGTCAAAAAGAGATAATTTTATATTTTTGTTATATCCTTTGGAATCTGTGGAATCCTATCCATATTCAAAACACAACAACTTTTCCATTTAAGGTAAATGATGGTTAATGAAAATATAAAATCGTTTGATATAAAATAAGCACTAGTACTTATTTTTCAAGCACTGTTTTAACCCAGTGAACTTATCTAATTTTTAAAGAAGTAAATATATAACAAAAAAATAAACACAATACCTAGGAAAACTCACAAACCCACACACACAGACAGCATATTATTTAAACAAAAAACAAATATTTGTTGTTTACAAAAAGCCATTTTAAATGATTAAGCATGAAATGAAGTAAAAAAACAATACAATAAAACCACTTGTAATCTTTTGTTTTCCTCTCTAGTAAAAAAAACTGAAGGAAAAACAGCCGAAAGAAAAATTTTACTGCAATGAATAGACAAGGAAAATATGAATACAGAGAAATAAACAAAGTCGAGTCATTTGGGTTTATATATATACATTTATATATACTAGGAGTAAGGGTGTTAAACAAACATAGTTGAACAAAAGGAACAAAAAACAATAAAAACCAACAAAAAAGAACAAATTTAACAAAGCTTCAAGAGATGGGAAAATCGAGAAAGGTGTGATGCACAACAACAGAAATAATAAAAAATTCAATTGAAGATGACTTATGCAAATATTATATGAATGTATAAGTGAGAGTGTGATAAAAGAAAACCTACAAAAACTCAATTACAATTTATGCACTATGCAGGATTTACACTTATACGTAGGCGGAGCAGAGATGAAACATCAGCACAATTATACTTTTTTCCGTAGTTTTCGACATCAGCAGTAATAAAAACTTTTTCTATATATTTATAGTTAATAGCTAGATAATAGTATGTAGACTAGTCTGTCTGTAGACCAGTCTATTAAAAATTTATAGGGTTATTTATGGATTTTTAAAAAATTAGGCAATAGCAAAGTCCATCTATTAATCTGTAGTCTAGTGTATAGACTAGTCTATAGTCTAGTCTATAGTCTAGTCTATAGTCTAGTCTATAGTCTAGTCTATAGTCTAGTCTATAGTCTAGTCTATAGTCTAGTCTATAGTCTAGTCTATAGTCTAGTCTATAGTCTAGTCTATAGTCTAGTCTATAGTCTAGTCTATAGTCTAGTCTATAGTCTAGTCTATAGTCTAGTCTATAGTCTAGTCTATAGTCTAGTCTATAGTCTAGTCTATAGTCTAGTCTAGTCTAGTCTATAGTCTAGTCTATAGTCTAGTCTATAGTCTAGTCTATAGTCTAGTCTATAGTCTAGTCTATAGTCTAGTCTATAGTCTAGTCTATAGTCTAGTCTATAGTCTAGTCTATAGTCTAGTCTATAGTCTAGTCTATAGTCTAGTCTATAGTCTAGTCTATAGTCTAGTCTATAGTCTAGTCTATAGTCTAGTCTATAGTCTAGTCTATAGTCTAGTCTATAGTCTAGTCTATAGTCTAGTCTATAGTCTAGTCTATAGTCTAGTCTATAGTCTAGTCTATAGTCTAGTCTATAGTCTAGTCTATAGTCTAGTCTATAGTCTAGTCTATAGTCTAGTCTATAGTCTAGTCTATAGTCTAGTCTATAGTCTAGTCTATAGTCTAGTCTATAGTCTAGTCTATAGTCTAGTCTATAGTCTAGTCTATAGTCTAGTCTATAGTCTAGTCTATAGTCTAGTCTATAGTCTAGTCTATAGTCTAGTCTATAGTCTAGTCTATAGTCTAGTCTATAGTCTAGTCTATAGTCTAGTCTATAGTCTAGTCTATAGTCTAGTCTATAGTCTAGTCTATAGTCTAGTCTATAGTCTAGTCTATAGTCTAGTCTTTAGTCTAGTCTATAGTGTAGTCTTTAGTCTAGTCTATAGTGTATTCTTTAGTCTAGCTTTTAGTCTAGTATTTATATAAATTGCTAAAAATTTAGAACACGCTAAAAGTTTATTGTAAACGATCATATAAAAAAGTACTTTTCAGTTTAAAAAAGTACTATTTTTGGTGAAAGTTAGAAGTTTTCTAGATGTTAAATTTGCAAGCCTGTTAAACCAGAGATGGAAAAAAATAATATGAAAAGCCTAAAGAAAAAGGTATTAGTTTAAATTTTCCAACTCTGTAACACCGAATATATTTGTGAAACATTTCTATGTTACCTTGTCTAATTTATTATTAAAGTAAATGTTTTTATTGTTTACCTTTTTACCAACTCATAAACATAATCACACACACCCATACAACATACATACCTGTTGCTGATTTTCACGTTGCGTACGCAAACGAGCCTCTATACATTGACGTGTCTCAATGAAAGCTTTACGTTGTGCCTTCTCTTTGGGCCAGTGCGTATAAATGCCGGTCAGATTGGATAAAAATAAAGCCATTAACGAGCTAAATAACTACAAAAACAACAACAAGAAAAGAAAAAATATATAATGAATAAAAGAAAAACAAATAAAAAGTAAAATACATAAAGACAGAGACGTAACAAAAAGGAAACAATGTTATTATTGTCTGTCATAAGAATTGTAATAAAATTTTATTTTTATTTCAAATTGAATTGTTTTTGTAGTTCTTAGCTATATTTGTTTTAGTTATTTTATTTATATATTTATAGTAAATAAACTTAATAAGCATAAAGTTTTATGGATATTTTAGGTAAAATGAGTACTCTAAAAGTTTACTACATTACAGCAACAATATTAAAAATTTTTTAGGTTAGGGTATAGTTAAAATGTCCTAGGGAAAGTGCATTAAAAGTTTTGTAGTGTTTAGTTTTAATTTAACAAATATTAAATTTTTATTGTTTTTGTTAAATAAAAAATATGGTAACAGGTGTTGTTATGGCTAGTTTTTCTCTGGGGATAAAGTTTTAGTTGGTAGTCATTAGGGCAGGAGAATTGTTAGTTTTTGTGAGAATAAAAGAGGCCTAGTAAGTATCAGAAAGTCGGAATCATAATTACGTTTTGTATTTCGCACATCTATATACCTAAGAAATTTGCAGTAAAAACCTTTGAACCTAACTCATGCTTTATAAAAAGTGACAGCTTATCTACCACATTATCTTCCACTTTTGTCCAGCAATAGATTTATTTATAGCGCTCTGTTTTTAATTTATAACACCAAAGTGTCTTCTTAACAGATGCGCCAAAAAGGACTCAACTCATTAAAGTCACACTCTGCGTTTAACATATTAAATGAAAATTAAATACAAAGTAATGAAAATTAATTATATTCAGCCTTGACAAGGGTTTTTTCTTATCATGGCAGAATAAGTTAAAAGAAAATGTATAAATTTTAAAGTTTTTAACAGATTTAAAGTACAAAAGTTACATATAAACTTTAAAAATTTTTAATTTATAACAATTTTAACTATGACATAAAATCATCCCTCTAAATTACAACAGAAAAACTGTCAACAGCTTTAAATAGTTAAAAGTAAAAAGTTTTTATGTTGATTTAACAGCAAAAAAAAAGAAAAAAAAACTTTTTTCTGTTTAAATCAAAAACAAATATTTACATGAGAAATCTCTCCTGTTACTCTAGCAGCTTCAACAAATAAATGTAAAATAAACATAAATAAACAAAAAAAGCAAATTAAATATTACAATTCCCACTAGTTTTTTTTTCGTTCTTCAACCTACAACTTTTTTCTCTTTTTTTGTTATTTACTTAAAACAAATATTTCTATAATGTACCGCCCCGCCTCCTACTAATGCTGTAGCAATTTGTAGATATTTTCTTCATTATTTCATTTATAGTAGTGGTACTTGTCTTTGTCCTGTTGTAACTTGCTGTCTGTATAAATATTGTTCAACTTACCTCTTGCCAATGGTAGGTGTCCTCAACATAACGCAAACTTGTATAGATTTGTGTTGCGGATAGTATGATGCCACCAACTAATGATTCCCGTAAGCGTAGTGGCAACATGGTGTAAGTCATGTAGATGAAAATAACACTGCATACAGTTCCATTGAATGATTTGCTATGGAGGTTGGAGGGAAATTATATTAATGAATGAATTTATAAGTTCCTAAGGAAAACTTTAAAGAATTTAATTGGGAGATGCAACCCAGCAAAAAATATTATGGGTTTGAAAGCAATTCATTCCAACTAAGCAATTCATTTATTGTAACTAAATAACTAACTAACTAACTAACTAACTAACTAACTAACTAACTAACTACTAACTAACTAACTAACTAACTAACTAACTAACTAACTAACTAACTAACTAACTAACTAACTAACTAACTAACTAACTAACTAACTAACTAACTAACTAACTAACTAACTAACTAACTAACTAACTAACTAACTAACTAACTAACTAACTAACTAACTAACTAACTAACTAACTAACTAACTAACTAACTAACTAACTAACTACTAACTAACTAACTAACTAACTAACTAACTAACTAACTACTAACTAACTAACTAACTAACTAACTAACTAACTAACTAACTAACTACTCGACAGACAGACGAATATTGCTAAATCGACTCAGAAAGTTATTCTGATCCTATTCGCATACCAATCGGACCAATATTTTTGGGTGTTTGAATGCCTACGGCTTATGTTAAAAATTGACGGCAATGTAATCTTCCAGATAGCTTATCGGATACTTTTAGCTCAAATTATACTTCTGAATAAAAAACAAATTCTCTGTACGATAACTTACTAACTTTAGTTATTTGCAAATTATAATAATGAACCTAAGTGTCTATCTTTTTTAAACGAATATTTCAGAATCAACCAAAAAAACCATTATCATTACAACATTCCCACACACTAACGCATTATTTATTAATATGGCGCCATATTGCAGCATTTATTATATTCTTAAGGATTTATCTCGCGCTCTTATTTTTGTAAAACCAAAATCGCAATTTCTTTCACGAGCACAGATTTACTAACAAACTAAGTGCAAATATTTTATATGAATTTTTTTTCTTGTTTGCATTTTAAACAGACATTTCGTTTAATGTTTTATTCCATTTTTGTAATCGTAAATTTACTTACCTTGGCAATGTTGCATATCCCACAGCTATTTGTATTGCCACAAATGTGCCAACAATGACATAAGATACCAACACTAAAAATATCTCATTCATGGCGGGTTTTGCCAAAATGCACAACAAAACTGTAAAAGAGATAAGATAAGATGAGATGCTAAGGGAAAATATCATACAAATAAATAATGAAGTAATAAAATATGAAGAAGGCAAATAAGTAAATAAATAAAGATGACGGAGAAAAAATAAAAACAAGTACTTATTTACTCGTATGAGTGACTTTATATATCAGTTCGGAGGATATTTTCAAACTTTAGTTAAAAGTATTACTGTTAGCCCAAAAATGCTATTACACGAGAGTCTATTAGAAAGAAAGGAAAAATATACTTCATTTGCTGTGCATACATGTCTTATGCCCATCACTGCTTTTTATATGTGAAAAAAAACGAAGACCAGTGTTAGGGATTCGGAGCAAAACGTTAAATAAACATAATTGTATTATGCTAATGGCAAACAAAATATAAGATTATGATTATTTTTTATTACTTTTATCATAATTTTCATATTTATTTGCCAAAAATATAAAAACGGACAAATATACAGAAAAAATGACAAACAGAAATAAATAAACATAAATAGACATAAATATTTTAGCCAGTGTAGTTCTCTTAATATCCGGTGATACAGATATTTGTTTAAGCTGAATCTAAATATAGTGTCTCTATTCTAATTCATAAATAAATTTTTATTTTATAAACGACTTATAAATCAAATTTTGTATAGTAATTTTGTATTATAAAGCTTCTATAAAATAAAATTTTGTTTCTGGGTGGCTAGTATCTGGAGTGTCTAGTCTATATATAATATATGTAGTCTAGTCAATAGTCTAGTCTATAGTCTAGTCAATAGTCTAGTCTATAGTCTAGTCTATAGTCTAGTCTATAGTCTAGTCTATAGTCTAGTCTATAGTCTAGTCTATAGTCTAGTCTATAGTCTAGTCTATAGTCTAGTCTATAGTCTAGTCTATAGTCTAGTCTATAGTCTAGTCTATAGTCTAGTCTATAGTCTAGTCTATAGTCTAGTCTATAGTCTAGTCTATAGTCTAGTCTATAGTCTAGTCTATAGTCTAGTCTATAGTCTAGTCTATAGTCTAGTCTATAGTCTAGTCTATAGTCTAGTCTATAGTCTAGTCTATAGTCTAGTCTATAGTCTAGTCTATAGTCTAGTCTATAGTCTATAGTCTAGTCTATAGTCTAGTCTATAGTATAGTCTATAGTCTAGTCTATAGTATAGTCTATAGTCTAGTCTATAGTCTAGTCTATAGTCTAGTCTATAGTCTAGTCTATAGACTAGTCTATAGTCTAGTTTATAGTCTATAGACTAGACTATATAGTCCAGTTTCATTCGTAACGTGTTGCTCTGGCTTAGTTTTGTGTTTTTATAAACAAGCAAGTACAAGAACAAAATTTACCATGCGATTCTGTGCGTTGTTGTTGGTTGTTTACTATTTGTCTCTCAGCATGCACCTTTATTTAAGAACCGATTTTGCTGATTTTAAATAGGCAACTTCTCGAAAGCATGTTGAAGATTTGTGTCCCAAACATACAGACAGATAGACAAACAATCAGACATGGAGACAGACGGACAGAGAAATGTTGTTATTAAAATTGGCTTTCTTGTGTTATTTTTTACATTTTAAAAAACATCCAATACTTTTGGAAGTTTTTTCTAATGATGGGATCTTAATAATTTCCAGTTTATTTTTCCTAACCCAAAATTAATTTTAACATTTTCTGCGTGACTCTCTATTTATTTGCTACAATACTCATGCTTTTAATCTTAATAAATTTGGGCAGTTGTATATTTCTAAATTGTATTCATTTGTTTGCCACATAAATTAGCTAGTAAATCCTCAAACCGTATGAACGAAAATTTCTGCCTATCACTTACATACATATGTATGTGTTTTGATATAAATCTATAAAATTTGTACGTCACATTAAATAAATGAAAGAAAATCAAAAAATGTTTCTATTAAGATTTGTCACTCCGATACCAGCAAAAACAGTCACGTATACATAACATACATACAACTGTTTATGTATTTTTATTTTAAATATATTAAGGTTCTGTTATTCTTATGATTTCTTATATTTTCCAAAAAAAGTAGTTTTAATTTTTTCTACTTACATGAATAAACACACACGCAAATGGTCATGACTATAAGTAAAACAATCATTTTCTCATCAATTTCCTGAAGAACGGCCAAAACAAAATCAAATTGATTGACTATTTTTATTTGCGCTTCAGCTGAATCAGGTGTTTCTATATTTTCATTTTCTGCTTCATTTCCTATTCCTTCTTCATCCTCCTGTAGTCTTAACATAAGGGGACCTTTACCTTGAACATCACTGTCAAAACTTTTTGAGTCTGGCGAATTTTTAGTATTGAACGTTTGACTGTCACTGCTGCCCTTATTCCCAGTATTATAATCGTTTGATAAATTTTGCTTGACAATATCAATATTGTTGAAGTTATTGTCATACAAATAAACTTCTTCATCATTGCTATTTGGTTGGATTTTTTGTTGCCCCTGGTGCTGATGCTCGTGATGATAATGATGATGATGATGCTCATGTTGTTGATGTATTTTTGTTTGATTGGTTTTTTCAATTTCATATGAATTATTATTTAATGTACTTTTCTTTTTACGCTGTTTTAGTTGCTCCTGCTGTTCCTGCTTCTGTTGCTGTGACTGTTTGTTTTCATTGTTGTTTACATTTGATTGTATCAAGTCATCAACATCTTTATTCTTCACATCATATTTAATTTTTCCATTTAACACATTCTCCATTTCTTGCTGCTTGTCACCTGCCACTACAAAAGTATTTGTATTTGAGTTTGTCTCCCCAGTACCTCTAGACTGCTGTTTTTCAACAGCATCAACAATTTCCCTTGACATTTCATGCTGTTGTTGTAAAATCGTAGTTGTGGCAACTTGTTGCTGTTGTCTTTTATGTCCTTGTTCAAGTCGTTGTATGTTGTATAATTCTTTGTTATAATTTTTATTATTTTTAGTTATATCATAATCATTATTATGATTGCGTTGAAGATGATGATAATTTTGCTGATAATAATGATAATCATCATTATCATCATTATTAACAGTTGATGAACTTGTCTGTTTGTTTGTGGATTGTAACAAATCATGATTAGGATGATGATTATGCTGTTGCTCCTGTAATATTTTGTTGACAGTTGCTTGATGTGCAGCTTTTGTTATTGTCTTCTGAAATTCTTTCTCATCCAGGGCATAACGTTTCAATCTGTATTATAGGTAAATAAAAAAAAAACACATAACGTAATTTTTGTTAGAAATAAATGACAAACATATTTTCTTTTATATAAAATATATATTTCGCACTTTATATTATTTTTATTATGATAAATTATTATTCACAATCTTACGAAATGATAAAAACATAAATGTGAACATTTTATAAATTTCTTTATAAAAAATTCCTAGAATTTGTTTGTAATAACTATCTTGGCTAAATACATTAGGGACACTCAAAGAACTAAACAATATCTATAACTAACTATAAAAAATTTGTCTATGTGAAGGATATATTTTCTAGAGAAAAGGACATATTTTCTACAAATTTTCTATAGAAAATTTGTCTCTGTTAAGGACATATTTTCTATAGAAAATTTGTCTCTGTTAAGGACATATTTTCTATAGAAAATTTGTCTCTGTTAAGGACATATTTTCTATAGAAAATTTGTCTCTGTTAAGGACATATTTTCTATAGAAAATTTGTCTCTGTTAAGGACATATTTTCTATAGAAAATTTGTCTCTGCTAAGGACATATTTTCTATAGAAAATTTGTCTCTGCTAAGGACATATTTTCTATAGAAAATATGGACTTATTTTCTATAGAAAATTTGTCTCTGTTAAGGACATATTTTCTATAGAAAATTTGTCTCTGTTAAGGACATATTTTCTATAGAAAATTTGTCTCTGTTAAGGACATATTTTCTATAGAAAATTTGTCTCTGTTAAGGACATAGTTTCTATAAAAAATTTGTCTCTGTTAAGGACATATTTTCTATAGAAAATTTGTCTCTGTTGAGGACATATTTTCTATGGAAAATTTGTCTCTGTTGAGGACATATTTTCTATGGAAAATTTGTCTCTGTTGAGGACATATTTTCTATGGAAAATTTGTCTCTGTTAAAGACATATTTTCTATAGAAAATTTGTCTCTGTTAAGGACATATTTTCTATAGAAAATTTGTCTCTATTAAGGACATATTTTCTATAGAATATTTGTCTCTGTTAAGCACACATTTTCTATAGAATATTTGACTCTGTTACAGACAGTTATTTTGCTTTCTGATTGGACCAAAGGCTACATGTACATTGCTTATTTATACAAACTCCCTTATTAATATGTGTATGTATATTAGTTTTCTTTTAAATCAATATTTTGTATTAAATTTACCATAACAGTTTAAATTATTTCCAATGTTCTATTTATTACAGTATTATTGTATATAAATTTTGATTTAAATACATTTATATTCAAAAATAAAAGTAAGAAATTGGTTTGGTATTATATTTGTATTATAAATTTACAATGCAAATATTATATGAAATACTATTGAATTTATTTTAAGTAGATTTATATACATATTTGCAGGTAGTACTATAAATTGATACAGAAAAAAAAAATACAATTGAACTTATTGAAAGAAGATTTAAAATATATTTTTGCTAAAATTTACGACATAATACTCCTATTAATGTGTTGTAAATCAAACTTTTGTTGTTGGAATTTTTCAACAATACTAAATATTTATATTGCCAATAATTGTGTTATGAAATGTATACATTTTAAGTTTGACCTAAAATGGTTTATTGCTCTAGTAGACTAGCACGTGTATAATTAAAAATGTGCCTAAAAAGAAGAAGCCCTAAATATTAGAGAAGGTTTTTGAAAAGTATTTTTTAAAGAAAACAGAAATTTAAAAATGGAAAACATAGACTTCATTATACTTAGTGGGGAGGGAGTTTAATAATACCTACCAATACAATTACAAATAAATATTTTATTAAAATAAACTATTAATCTCTTTAGTTATTAAAAATAACAATAAATTACTTGTGTTTTAATAGCAAAACCAATAAAAACTTCTCAAACACCAAAATCCTCTATACGTATGATTAATATTTAGAATTTAATGAAATGAAACCTACAAATTGCTCATACGCTAACGTTCCTTTTATTTCATAAACATTTATTTTCATAAACATTCAACCAATATTAATTCCTATTTAATTGATACTTCGATTTTATTTTAAAATTCATGACCAAAGGCTGAATTTTATATTTAATTATGTTTTAATGCTAAATTTAATTTTGCCAAATTAGACAACAACATGAACCATCAACAATAATTCCTTATTATATTATTTTATTGACAATTATTTGTGGCAGGCCTTGACATTGTCTTGCGTTCTTAAAATTAATTGCTTAACAATTGTCCAAAGAATTTTTTTCATTGTTAAACATTTGCAGACTAACAAATGTTCATTAAAGTATCTTAATTCAATTGTTATCGAGTAACAATAACAACAACAACAATAATAAAAATATATATAAATATTTATCGTTATGGTTTCTCCAGAGTACATTAGATAAATTAAATTGAACATTTAAATTTTAGCAAAACAGTCTTACGAACGAACGACTGAATGGAAGAGAATGAACAATGGCAACAACGGCAAAGGAAATACTTTTAATTGAAGTGAATTTCAATTAGTTTGTATTCGTAAATCCATCTATTGTATTAAGTAGTAGAGATTTCTTTCTATTCTATTTGTTCTCCTAAGGGAGAATATTAAATTTTATAGATACAATATTGAAAATGGCAAAAAACTATATTTTATTTATTTCTTTTTCCAAATAACAACTTAAATAATGAAACAAAAATTGTCTTTTGAAGACCAATTTTCTAAAGAAAATATGTCTCTGAAAAAGACTTATTTTCAATAGAAAACTTGTCTCTGACAAACACTCATTTTCTATAGAAAATTTATCTCCAACAAACACTAATTTTCTATAGAAAATATGTCTCTGATAAAGACTCATTTTCTATAGAAAATTTGTCTCTGGTAAAGACTAATTTTCTATAAAAAAATTGTCTCTGATAAAGACTAATTTTCTATGGAAATTTGTCTCTGACAAAGACTCATTTTCTATAGAAAATTTGTCTCTGACAAAGACTCATTTTCGATAGAAAATTTGTCTCTGACAAAGACTCATTTTCTATAGAAAATTTGTCTCTGACAAAGACTCATTTTCGATAGAAAATTTGTCTCTGACAAAGACTCATTTTCTATGGAAATTTGTCTCTGACAAAGACTCATTTTCTATAGAAAATTTGTCTCTGACAAAGACTCATTTTCGATAGAAAATTTGTCTCTGACAAAGACTCATTTTCTATAGAAAATTTGTCTCTGACAAAGACTCATTTTCTATAGAAAATTTGTCTCTGACAAAGACTCATTTTCTATAGAAAATTTGTCTCTGACAAAGACTCATTTTCTATAGAAAATTTGTCTCTGACAAAGACTCATTTTCTATAGAAAATTTGTCTCTGACAAAGACTCATTTTCTATAGAAAATTTGTCGCTAACAAAGACCCATTTTCTATAGAAAATTTGTCTCTGACAAATACACGTTTTCTATAGAAAATTTGTCTCTGACAAAGACTCATTTTCTATAGAAAATTTGTCTCTGACAAAGACTGATTTTATATAGAAAACTTGTCTCTGACAAAGACTGATTTTCTATAAAAACTTTGTTTCTGTTAAGGACTTATTTTCCATAGAAAATTTGTATCTGTTAAGGACTTATTTTCTATAGAAAATTCGTCTCTGTTAACGTCTTATTTTCTATAAAGAAGTTGTCTCTATTAAAGACTTATTTTCTATAGAAAATTTGTATCTGTTAAGGAATTGTTTTCGATAGAAAATTTGTCTCTGACAAAGACTCATTTTCTATAGAAAATTTGTCTCTGACAAAGACTCATTTTCTATAGAAAATTTGTCTCTGACAAAGACTCATTTTCTATAGAAAATTTGTCTCTGGCAAAGACTCATTTTCTATGGAAAGTTTGTCTCTGACAAAGACTCATTTTCAATAGAAAATTTGTCTCTGACAAAGACTCATTTTCTATAGAAAATTTGTCTCTGACAAAGACTCATTTTCTATAGAAAATTTGTCTCTGACAAAGACTCATTTTCTATAGAAAATTTGTCTCTGACAAAGACTCATTTTCTATAGCAAATTTGTCTCTGACAAAGACTCATTTTCTATAGAAAATTTGTCTCTGACAAATACTCATTTTCTATAGAAAATTTGTCTCTGACAAAGACTCATTTTCTATAGAAAATTTGTCTCTGACAAAGACTCATTTTCTATAAAAAATTTTGTTTCTGTTGAAGACTCATTTTCTACAGAAAATTTGTCTCTGACAAAGACACATTTTCTATAGAAAATTTTTCTATGACAAAGACCCATTTTCTATAGAAAGTTAACAGACTCATTTTCTATAGAAAATTTGTCTCTGACAAAGACTCATTTCATATAGAAAATGAGTCTCTGTCAGAGACCAATTTTCTATGGAAAATTTGTCTCTGTTAAGGATTCATTTTCAATAGGAAATTTGTCTCTGTTAAAGACTAATTTTCTGTAGGAAATTTGTCTCTGTTAAGGACTTATTTTCTATAGAAAATTTGTCTCTGTTAAGGACTTATTTGCTATAGAAAATTTGTCTCTGTTAAGGACTTATTTTCTATAGAAAATTTGTCTCTCATGAGGAAAATTTATCTTTGTTAGAGACAAAAATTTATCTTTGTTAAAGACAAATTTTCTATAGAAAAATTTAAATTTAATTTAAAAAGCTTAATCAACAATATAATTCCCTATTACCAATGTAAACATTTCTGTAATTAACAAATACTTTCTTCTTTGAGTTTTCATTCAATTAAAATTTTAATTGAAACATTTCCTCTCCATTGGCCTAATAATATAAAACTTTTCTCTTTCCACTAAATATTCCAACTGAAACTGATAATATTTATTACTTAAACAAAATTTCAATTTGAAAATTTTTTTTGCACCCCGGTAAAAAAAAATCCAATCAAAAAGAAAACTTGTGTATATTGAACGTGTCGAAAGCGCCGCTATGCTAAAATTTATTTAAAATAATCTTCCTTCACCCTTCACCAAACTTACCTTGAACGGTGCTTTAGCAAATGTCTATTTAAATATTTTCGTTTTCGACGTTTAAATAACCGTGAAACAAAAGCGGCTTTAGAGTCATCGTTCAAATTATATTGATGATGAAGAACTTGTTCTTGTAGTTGTTGTGGCTGTGGCTGCTTAGAACTTACAACTTTGGCACTTGCTACAAATTCTGGCAAAGGTAAATTGTGCATTATTAACGAAGTTGGTTTGTGGTTAGTAACAACTTCAATATCAACATCATTTCCATGCTCGAAATTTTCAACGTCTTTAACTTCAATAGCACCCAGCTTATTCTCTTCATAAGAATGAATACCTCTTGTTGCCATCTTATCAATTTGATTGTTATTGGCTGGTGCTGTAGTTGTAGTTGCTGTTAAATTATATTTTGGTGGTAATTGATAGAGTATTTCCAAGTTTCGTTGCAAAGCGGATATTATAAATTTATCATCTTTTGCTGCAATCACGCCCGTTCCCACTTCCTCCTGCTGCTCTTTAATTTGTTGTTGACCAGGTAATAATAGTTGTGTTGCGGCCATAATAATAGTTTTGTTACTGCCACTGCTGCCACCAATATTTACAACAGAATCATCTTGAAAAGTTGTCGAAAAGTTACGTTTCACTTGCATGGTTGTGAAAACAATATGAGCACTTGATAGAGCCAAAATAAGTGCTAATAATAGCACCAGTATGTGAGTAGTATTGCTTTGATTCATGCGCAGAAAATAACGTTGATACAACATTTCAACCTGCAATAAAAATACATGAAAAGATATTAAATAGATATTGTGGTTATTTATATTGAAAGTATTAAATGGAATGCTATCAGAATGAATGAATTGTTTGAGTACATGAACTTTTAGTAAGTTTAACGTTTTCACTTGTTTACGTTTGAAAGATACCATCAAAAGTGGACAGGTTTTTAAAGAATATATTCATTAAAAACAGAGGTAATAGCTAACCGATCAGTTTTATATCTACATCACAAACAGATCACTGATTAGCACAGTAATTTCTATAGAGATAAATTTTCTCTACAAAATATAGAGATTGCTGATCAGATATAAAGAAAACTGATCGTTGATCAGCTCGATATTCTCTCTACTGGGAAAACTGCTAGTTGATCAGCCCATTTTTGTTTAGAAAAAATAGATCTTATCTCAATATTCTCTTGACAGTTCAAAAATTTCTCTGTAGCGAACAAAGATCGCTGATCAGTTCTGAATTCTCTATACATACTGGAAAACGACACAAACTTTCTATAGAAAAAGAGTCTTTGCCAGAGACAAATTTTCTATAGAAACTGAGTTTTTGTCCGAGACAAATTTTCTATAGAAAATAAGTCTTTTTCAGAGACAAATTTTCTATAGAAAACAAGTCCTTAACAGAGACAAATTTTCTATAGAAAACAAGTCCTTAACAGAGACAAATTTTCTATAGAAAACAAGTCCTTAACAGAGACAAATTTTCTATAGAAAATGAGTCTTAATCAGAGACAAATTTTCTATAGAAAATAAGTCTTTGTCAGAGACAAATTTTCTATAGAAAACAAGTCCTTAACAGAGACAAATTTTCTATAGAAAATAAGTCCTTAACAGAGACAAATTTTCTATAGAAAACAAGTCCTTAACAGAGACACATTTTCTATAGAAAGCAAGTCCTTAACAGAGACAAATTCTCTATAGAAAATAAGTCCTTAACAGAGACAAATTTTCTATAGAAAATGAGTCTTTATCAGAGACAAATTTTCTATAGAAAATAAGTCTTTATCAGAGACAAATTTTCTATAGAAAATGAGTCTTTATCAGAGAAAAATTTTCTATAGAAAATGAGTCTTTATCAGAGACAAATTTTCTATAGAAAATGAGTTTTTATCAGAGACAAATTTTTTGTAGAAAATGAGTCTTTATCAGAGACAAATTTTCTATATAAAATGAGTCTTTATCAGAGACAAATTTTCTATAGAAAATGAGTCTTTATCAGAGACAAATTTTCTATAGAAAATGAGTCTTTATCAGAGACAAATTTTCTATAGAAAATGAGTCTTTATCAGAGACAAATTTTCTATAGAAAATGAGTCTTTATCAGAGACAAATTTTCTATAGAAAATGAGTCTTTATCAGAGACAAATTTTCTATAGAAAATGAGTCTTTATCAGAGGCAAATTTTTTATAGAAAATGAGTCTTTATCCGAGACAAATTTTTTATAGAAAATGAGTCTTTATCAGAGACAATTTTTTTTATAGAAAATGAGTCTTTATCAGAGACAAATTTTCTATAGAAAATGAGTCTTTATCAGTGGCATATTTTCTATAGAAAATAGGTCTTTGTCAGAGACAAATTTTCCATAGAAAATAGGTCTTTGTCAGAGAAAAATTTTCTATAGAAACTGACACTTTTTCAGAGACAAATTTTCTATAGAAAATGAGTCTTTAAAAGAGACAAATTTTCTATAGAAAATGAGTCTTTATCAGAGACAAATTTTCTATAGAAAATGAGTCTTTATCAGAGACAAATTTTCTATAGAAAATGAGTCTTTATCAGAGACAAATTTTCTATAGAAAATGAGTTTTTATCAGAGACAAATTTTCTATAGAAAATGAGTCTTTATCAGAGACAAATTTTCTATAGAAAATGAGTCTTTATTAGAGACAAATTTTCTATAGAAACTGAGTCCATAACAGAGACGAATTTTGTATGGAAAATGAGTTTTTGTCAGAGACAAATTTTCTATAGAAAATGAGTCTTTGTCAGAGACAAATTTTCTATAGAAACTGAGTCCATAACAGAGACGAATTTTGTATAGAAAATGAGTTTTTGTCAGAGACAAATTTTCTATAGAGAATGAGTCTTTGTCAGAGACAAATTTTCTATAGAAAATGAGTCTTTGTCAGAGACAAATTTTCTATAGAAAATGATTCTTTGTCAGAGACAAATTTTCTATAGAAAATGAGTCTTTGTCAGAGACAAATTTTCTATAGAAACTGACACTTTTTCAGAGACAAATTTTCTATAGGACATGAGTCTTTATCAGGCACAAATTTTCTATAGAAAATGAGTCTTTATCAGAGACAAATTTTCTATAGAAAATGAGTCTTTATCAGAGACAAATTTTCTATAGAAAATGAGTCTTTATCAAAGACAAATTTTCTATAGAAAATGAGTCTTTATCAGAGACAAATTTTCTATAGAAAATAAGTCTTTATCAGAGACAAATTTTCTATAGAAAATGAGTCTTTATCAGAGAAAAATTTTCTATAGAAAATGAGTCTTTATCAGAGACAAATTTTCTATAGAAAATGAGTTTTTATCAGAGACAAATTTTTTGTAGAAAATGAGTCTTTATCAGAGACAAATTTTTTATAGAAAGTGATTCTTAGTCAGCAACAAATGTTCTATAGAAAATGCGTCCATAACAGAGACGAATTTTGTATAGAAAATGAGTCCATAACAGATACAAATTTTCTTTAGAAAATGAGTCTTTATCAGAGAAAAATTTTGTATAGAAAATGAGTCTTTATCAGATACAAATAGAAAATAGGTCTCTGTCAGAAATAAATTTTCTCCAGAAAATCAGTCTATATTAGAGACAACTTATGCTTAAATTAAAAAGTTAACTTCTTATATTCTTTTGAAATCCTTTTTCTTCATTACTCAACTAAAATACTTACTAGATTTAATAACAAAAAAATATATATAATTGCAAACTTCAGTTTCTTTGAAGTATTTACTTGTAATTAAGAAAATATCAAATTTCTTCTGCAATTAAGATATTTCTATTTTACGTTCTTTAGTTCAATTTCAATCAATTAAAACAATATCTAAAAAATAAATTGAAAGAACTAAATTCATTGTAAATATACTCTAACACTCCTTAAATGAAAACTTGTAAAAAACAAAAAAGCGAAGATCCAATAGTTGAATTCAATGTAATTCAATTATTAAATTGTAAAGCTGTCTCCCACATGCCCTCAACCGTATGTTAGTAAACGAAACAGTTTAATGAACTGTTTTAGAACATTTTATAATGGTTTGCTAAATTAATTTTCTTTTCAGTGGCTGTTGCTGTGATTCCACAAAATAACAGGGAGGTTTAATGTTTCGGCAACACACAGAAAGCCTTGAAAGGGTTTTGCCCACTTTTCACTTGTACTTTATTTTTTGGTTTTGTTTTTATTATTTCTTACATTTTGCCACATTTTTTTTAAGTGGGTTACAGCTAAATGTTGTTGAATATAGCAAAACAACAATAAACAAAAAAAAACTTTTGTTTTAATACTTATACTTTATAGAAAACAGTACAAACATTTATGTTGAAAAATATCTTGATTTTAACCCAAAAACAAAACAACAGCACAACACATACTCATGTTGTATTGCAACAACAGAACACAACAACACTTTTGGCATTTCAACTTCCGTTTTGTTTAAATTCTTTTTCTCTCTAACAAGTTTTATTTTCTTTTTGTTAGCCTTAAACAACAAATTTATTTTGTACAAAACATTTACTAACTTGTTAAATGTTGAAAATACTTTCATTTGGTCTAAAATTCATTAAACAAAAGAGACATTTTAATTATCTTTAAAGGCATAACAGTAGACATTCGAAAAAGCAAAAACTTTTTCTAACTTTATTTTTGTAATTTATATATTTTTAGAATTTATTACAACTTTTTAACACAACTCCAACAAGAACCAAATACAAAATAGAAAATTTATTCATTTATACGAATAACTACAAGTAAAAGTTTTTATTTACAATTTCCAAGTGTTACGAGAAAAGGTAAATAAAACTATTTGTGCTCGTATGTTAAAAATACATGAAATATTTAATTCTAATTTTATTTTTTATCCAAATATGTACTTAGTTTTTTATGTGTTTTTTTATTTATGTTGTAATTTATACAAGGGTTTTGCAAATGATTGTAGTATTTAATTTTTGGTATTTTAGAAAAGTTGAGAAAAGTGGGCCATACAAGTTAATGTCCTTTAGTTTTATTAAGGCAGTTCAAATTTGTATACACAAAGAGAAATTAGCACTCGAAATAGCTCAAAGTTTCATAAACTAGTTAAGCCGGTTTGATCACTAGATCGATCAATTCTTAATCGTATACACAAAGAAAATATATGGCTACTCACCTTACTATTTTCTTAGCAAGGAAAGTAGACCTCTGATCAACACAGAATTTTACATAGCAGCACAAGATAATAGATTGCTGATTTTTTCACAATTTTCCCGCTGTTCACAATTTTCTATAGAAACAAAAAAGATCGCATAATTTTCAATGGATAATCTTTTTAATCTACATTTGAATTTCTATAGAAAAGAAACAGATTTCTTAGCAGCTTATATATGGAGAAAATAAATTGATGATCATCTCAAAATTGTCTATATTTTGAATAGAGAGTAATCTCTATTCTCGCTAGACTACAGACTAGACTATAGAATAGACTAGACAATAGACTATAGACTAGACTATAGACTAGACTATAGACTAGACTATAGAATAGACTATAGGCTACACTATAGGCTAGACTATAGACTAGGCTATAGACTAGACTATAGACTAGACTATATACTAGACTATATACTAGACTATAGACTAGACTATAGACTAGACTATAGACTAGACTATATACTAGACTATAGACTAGACTACAGACTAGACTATAACTAGACTATAGACTAGACTATAGACTAGACTATAGACTAAACTATAGACTAGACTATAGACTATATACTAGACTATAGACTAGACTAGACTACTAGACTAGACTATAGACTAGACTATAGACTAGACTATAGACTAGACTATAGACTAGACTATAGACTAGACTATAGACTAGACTATAGACTAGACTATAGACTAGACTATAGACTAGACTATAGACTAGATTATAGACTAGACTATAGACTAGACTATAGACTAGACTATAGACTAGACTATAGACTACTAGACTATAGACTAGACTATAGACTAGACTATAGACTTGACTATAGACTAGACTATAGACTATGACTAGACTATAGACTAGACTATAGACTAGACTATAGACTAGACTATAGACTAGACTATAGACTAGACTATAGACTAGACTATAGACTAGACTATAGACTAGACTATACTATAGACTAGACTATAGACTAGACTATAGACTAGACTATAGACTAGACTATAGACTAGGACTATAGACTAGACTATAGACTAGACTATAGACTAGACTATAGACTAGACTATAGACTAGACTATAGACTAGACTATAGACTAGACTATAGACTAGACTATAGACTGACTATAGACTAGACTATAGACTAGACATAGACTAGACTAATATACTAGGACTATAGACTAGACTATAGACTAGACTATAGACTAGACTATAGACTAGACTATAGACTAGACTATTAGACTTAGACTATAGACTAGACTATAGACTAGACTATAGACTAGACTATAGACTAGACTATAGACTAGACTATAGACTAGACTATAGACTAGACTATAGACTAGACTATAGACTAGACTATAGACTAGACTATAGACTAGACTATAGACTAGACTATAGACTAGACTATAGACTAGACTATAGACTAGACTATAGACTAGACTATAGACGAGACTATAGACTAGACTATAGACTAGACTATAGACTAGACTATAGACTAGACTATAGACAGACTATAGACTAGACTATAGACTAGACTATAGACTAGACTATAGACTAGACTATAGACTAGACTATAGACTAGACTATAGACTAGACTATAGACTAGACTATAGACTAGACTATAGACTAGACTATAGACTAGACTATAGACTAGACTATAGACTAGACTATAGACTAGACTATAGAAGGACTATAGACTAGACTATAGAAGGACTATAGACTAGACTATAGAAGGACTATAGACTAGACTATAGACTACACTATAGATAGCATCCCCCAATTACTCATAGAGAGAAAAAAAACTCTTTTAAGCTCAACATTTTCTTTATAGACTAGACTATAGACTAGACTAGACTATAGTCTATAGACTATAGACTAGACTATAGACTAGACTATAGACTAGACTATAGACTAGACTATAGACTAGACTATAGACTAGACTATAGACTAGACTATAGACTAGACTATAGACTAGACTATAGACTAGACTATAGACTAGACTATACTAGACTATAGACTAGACTATAGACTAGACTATAGACTAGACTATAGACTAGACTATAGACTAGACTATAGACTAGACTATAGACTAGACTATAGACTAGACTATAGACTAGACTATAGACTAGACTATAGACTAGACTATAGACTAGACTATAGACTAGACTATAGACTAGACTATAGACTAGACTATAGACTAGACTATAGACTAGACTATAGACTAGACTATAGACTAGACTATAGACTAGACTATAGACTAGACTATAGACTAGACTACAGACTAGACTATAGACAAGACTATAGACAAGACTATAGACTAGATTATAGACTAGACTATAGACTAGACTATAGACTAGACTATAGACTAGACTATAGACTAGACTATAGACTAGACTACAGACTAGACTATAGACAAGACTATAGACAAGACTATAGACTAGATTATAGACTAGACTATAGACTAGACTATAGACTACACTATAGATAGCATCCCCCAATTACTCATAGAGAGAAAATAAAACTCTTTTAAGCTCAACATTTTCTTTACAGATAAAATTGACAGCTTTTCATTTAAATACCCTTCATTATACAAAACTCATTATCCTCGTTAATACAAAATCTATAGAAATCTGAAGCTTATACTCTATATAACTTTACTGTCTATTAAATTTCATTTCTATTCCCAAAAACAATCTTTAGAGAAATGAAAGCAAAAATTTCAACTTTAATTTTGCAATTTTGTATTGTATGTTGGTTGCTATAACAGCAGCAGCAATTAATTTTTAGTTGCACACAAATATTAAAAAAAAAAATAGAAAACAAAATCTCTTAGTTCTCATATCAAATTTAGTTTTCTTTGTGACTAAAAAAAGAATGATTTCTTTTCTTTCGTATTTGAACATATATCTAAAAAAGATATTAAATCTCTTTTTTTTTACTTACTTGTAAATTTTTAAATTGATGCGTACTACACAAACGTAAAATGATGCGATTCAAACGAAACCAAAAGGATATTGTTGGACTGAGGTTTGCATTCACATTTGTATTGGCTTCTACGTTACGTCCAGTGTCTGATGAATCATAATCTGGAAAAATTTAATAAAAAAGTTAGTTTTTTTTATAAAGAAAGTTCAGCAAAGTTAACAAGAAATAAAACTAAGATAATATATGGTTGTATTAAAAAAATATTTTTTCATAATCTTTGCTTTCTTACGAATGTTTCTTTTAAATTAAAAGTTGTCAATGGTTTTGTTTTCTTTTATGGTATGTACTTAAAATGTAACCGAGAGATAAATTTCAAAGGTTATTGCAATATCAATTTACTGTGAAAATTACAAGTTTTAAACGAATTGAATGAAAGTTAAATGTTTCCTATATCTGTAGATCAAAGTATTTAATACAAAGAAGCTTTG